CAAAAGTTAGCAAATCCCGCGCTATTCCCCCGTATGTCCCCGGGGTCAACCCCCCGGGATGGCCGCCGATAAGTGTATAAAAATGTAGTCAGGTTTATAACAAATAAATCTACATACCACAAAATTTTTCCTCTAAATGTTTGTGCCTTATATAGCGTAGGAACAGAAATCGCTGATTGGCATCCACTGGACAACTATCACCGTGAATAAAAGAAGGTTTAGCACTGGTATTTTCGAATTTCATGCGGCTATTTCTTAAGTTAACATGGATGTTCCACAAGATGTTGACGTATATATTACCGTTTGTACCCTTCTCAACCAGTACATCACAAAGAGGAACATCCCCTGTGTCCGTGGAGGATTGGAAACAATGTCATGACGTCGCAAGGCCCATCCCGCCTGCCGAAATTCGCGCGTTCTAGCCCCTTTTGCTATTCAATGCATATTTTTTAAATTTTATTTTTTATTTTCATCTCGATCTTAAGCTGTTTTGTTTTTCTTTTTGCTGTTTTTCTACTCTTACTGTACCGCATGTTTCTCTCCACCTGTAACACAGAGTTTTGGACGACTCATTTGTTGCAGTAACGCTTTACCGGCACCGACGAGGAAACCTGGAATTCAGGGGTCTCATTAATTAGCGGAGTGGGAAAAATTGTCTCAGAAAATTCTGTTTTCCTCTTAATCACGGATAGGGTTAGTCCATCGCAACTCGCTTCGCTCGAAACCAACTAGGTACTACCTTAGAGCCGGAAGAGTATAACTAATCTTGGATTACATAGAATAGCATTGTTTAAGTCACTTCTTGCTTGATTTTTAAGCTTCGTAGCATTTACGTTCATTTTACTTGTTTTCATGTGACAGAAGTCCTCACTTTGGTAGCAGAGGCCGAAGTGAGCTACTGGATCAAACGTCTCGCGGGCTCAGCTGCACACACAACAAATATCTAGTGCCTCTAACACCACGTAAGTATTAACAAAAACGTTCTATAATTGATATAAAGCCGTCAATCAGATTTTTGTGAAAGCTAATCACATTCTGTCTTCCCTACTAATAGATTGCCGTGATCTGCTGAGAAAACTTTTAGAGCCTAATCCGCAGATGCGTGCGCCCCTTCTGGACGTTATGGAACACCCCTGGATAACTGCTCATGGGACTATGCCATTAGCGCCAAACACTGAGCAACTTATGGACGAGCAACTGCGAGATAAGGTGCCGTATGAATTTAACATTTAGAGGATGTAACAGCTTTTAAATTGAGTCAATTGCACTGTGGAGTTCAGAGTCAGAGTAAATGAAAAATGGCACACCCGCTAAAGCTGGTCACTGCCCGCGAAAAATTAATGGCCTTTATCAAAGAAATATCGTAGTGAAAGCATGTCTCGCGCAGGAAACTTTGGACCTCTTTGTAATAATCAAAATTACAGCCTAGCAATGCTTTCAGATCTTAAGACGAACAGGTGTAGGAACATCTAACACACCCCTCCCACTTTGTAAACATGTGGCCGAAGTCCACTTTGTTGTAACTTTGAGCAAGGCCCTACTTCCACAGTGTCTTTTTCCATGACTGAAGGAGGATGGAGGGGAGGAGACGGGGGTGTGGGGGGTCCAAATTTGAGTCAGAAAACACAGAAAGTTTATTTGCAATAGATCAGAAATATTTTAGTTCAAGTAACTTTTAAATTCTTTATATTGAGTAATGCATGAATTTTGGAGTCAGTCAAGAGGTAAAAGAAAACCACACGTCTTATGGTCGGGTTCGTATCCCGTGGACCTTCCCACTGGACTTGCCATTGGGACTGGCTGGCGAACTGTCAGAAAAACCTGGCGAA